GAGGGGAAAAAATAAATGGCCGGAGACGCATTGAGTCGTAATTGCACCTGAGGACGTCCAGCTCCTCCGAGTTTTCCAATTATAGGTCAGGCTAGTTTAATTGGCAGACGTTCAGGAAAAACATAAGAAGGAAAAAGAAAAAAAATGAAAAAATCGCTTGAAAGTTACGCCACTGGGATTGTCTCTCTAAGAGAGAAGGGATGTGTGCGAGAGCACCACGGGCTTGGTTATTTCACGGTCCACTCGTTCCACTCACACCACCCCCACCCAGGCTAGGCGACAGTCGCCCCTTCCCCCTCTTAAATCCATCCCTAAGAATTAATTCGAGAGAATCGTCCGGCGACCAACCGACACAGCCCACCTACCCCGTGATCCTCTTCTTTTATACTTTCTCATTGTCTCTTTTTTTTATCGCCCAAGCCTCTGTCAATTCAACTTCTCGTGACTCTTGCTCCGATAACGCGCTCGGTTTGGCCGGTGTATATAAAAATGAGGGTTCGTGGGTTTTGCGAGGGCCAAGAGAGAGGGGTGCGGAGGGGGGAAAGCTGATAAAGCAGAGGCGAAGTTAGAGGGGCTAATCTCCTTGACTGTGGGCTCTCCGGGTAAGAAAAGAACAGAAAGAACGTAAAAAGGTGGATCATTGCGAGTCGGGAGGGGTTTTTCAAGGGAAAGGAAGAATGGAGAGGAAGAAAAGGTCTCGATTGCCCACGGGGTTGCAAGGAGTTGGGAGGGAGTGGGCGCGGTCTTGTCAGACCGCGGTGATTTTCCTTCAAGTTCACTGAGACTTTGTTAAGGGTAACTGTGGGTCTGAGTGAAGGTTGTTTCAACGCTGGGGGGTAATCAGGTTTTGAGATTTGATACAGCATGGTTAAAGTTACCCATCTGGGCTCCTCGGTGATTTTGTGAATTTCATGTTGTTGGGATTAATCTTACGGGTATTCATGACAGATTGAATGACAGTAATTTATTTCTGTAGACCCCTGGGGACATCTGAGGTGTCTTGTACTGGGGTGTGATGCTTGGAGGATCGGGTTACTGCGGCAAAATGGAAAGATATGAGTTTCTGGAGATATGATTCTTGGGAGGGAGAGGGGGAGGGGTGGTTTTGCGGGGACATTGATGATTCAATTTTTGTTTCAGTCGAGGCGGGGGAGTGGCAGGGATATGGTAAGTGTGGTGATGCAGAGTCGGTAGCTAATTTGGTCATCAAAGCGAGTCGCGGACGATTTTCCGTCAATTTGTCGTAGAACGCTTTGGGCACGGAGAACACTGTGTTCTCGTTGTACTTCTTGAGCCAAGCGTGCAGTACCTCGGGTGCTGATGCCGGGTAGAGCGTGACCTCAAAGCGAAAAATATTCATTACCATCCGGCCTAGTAATTACCGAGGCGACGGACTGGGATACCTCATTTGCTTTTAACTTTAATTCGGAGAAAATATTGTGGAGGACTGAAGACTGGAGAAGTGGGGGGGTTAATCAGGTGAATTGGGAGGTATTTGTTTTGATTCTGATAATTTTTTTTTTAATACGAGCATGATTATATGGCCTAGTTTGAAAACTCATTGAAATTCTACTCTGAATTCAACAAAAATTGAGGATTGTGTTCCGATAGCTTCCAATAGGAAACGATCAACTGTCTATTCGGTGAAATTAATTGGTCCGCTATCTTCTGGATTTATTGGGCTGAAACCACTTGCTTTATTGTCAATCTGGCATTTGGTCTTGGGTCAACCGACACCGAAAAAAAACAAGGTCTATTGTGAGACTTTTGAAAGTCTCAAATTGAGATTTTCAAATGATTCAAACTTAGACTTTCAAAAGTCTTAACTTGAGACTTTGAAAGTCTCAAATTAAGACTTTTCAAAGTTTTAACTTGAAATTTTCAGAGGCCTTAATGAGGCTTAAATTGAGATCTCAATGTTTCATATTGAGACTTTTCTAAGTTTTAACTTGAGAATTTCAGTCTTCAAATTCCAATTGTTGAAAATCTTATTTTAAGACCTTTAAAATCTTAAAATAATGAATTTTTTTTTGTGTGCAGTGGCTTGGTCGATTTTTGACCTGGACATGTAATGTTTAGGCCAAAAACCGACTTGCTCTGGAGGCTTTTTTCTTACGTCAGCCGACATTTGTTCTTGTTCAATGGCTTATTTGGTTGATTTTTGGTCTAAATTTTTTATCTAATGGGAAAGTGGAAACAGACATTTCATTTATAAACAAACGAATTATTCATCCATACATGTTAAAAGAGGGAGATCTAGTCGTGTACTTGAGTATAAAAACTAGAAATTTAGGTATTCCCTGCTGACACAAACTGCAGCTTTGTTTTCCAATAATTGCCGAATTTTTCGTGGTTTTCACGTCTTAGACAATTCTTATTAGCAACAATTTGTAAACGTTCCAGTATTGAGAATTTTACCAGATGTTCCGCAAGGTAAGTATTTCGAAGTCAAACGACTGAAAATTTTTCCAAGTCTATGACGAACCTGGAAGAATTGCACTTACCGGTAGATGCATTTTGATCGGCATTTTGCCTATTCAGTTATTGTCACTGAGCGGACCAAAGAGATCATAAAACCGTGGCCGAGATAGTAGGGTTTTGGCCGCCATATGAAATTTTCGGTCTTCAACAGACCATTTCCGGATAAATGAGACCAAAAACAGGAAAAAGTACTGAATTAGATGTGAATGTTCACAATTTAAAGAACCGATCCTTAATTTTAGTAATGGTGTGATTTTGATTAATAATTTAACGTTCACGATTTGATGAATAGCTACACAGGGATTAAAATTTTCTTGAATTAGGAACTTTCTTCTATATTCGAATCACACGGCTTGTGTTCTCCTCGTACCCCCCAAGATTTAGCAATGATGAATTTTACAAAATCAAATGCGTTTCTCCCTGAATCTTGTTCAAAATAACTTCCATTTGGGATTTAATTCTCTACTTTTTTACGACAACTTACAACCTTCAAAATCATTATTTTCTCGAATAAGAAGATTCATTCTTGAAGAACCAACAATGTTCTGAGGTTTTATAAAAAAATCATCTAGTTCGGGCTTCTGACGGTAAGTTATTAATAAGAAATTTTGAAATTATATTTTGCCCGTGTGTACTCCCCGGAATATATTCCTAATTTCAATATCTTTAGCCGCCCATTGGATCATACCTCTTAATTGCTACACTGTTAAAAAATCCCTGAAATTTAGATAACACCAGCATATCCAGAGTAATTTCCTCACAGCATATCAACTTTTCAATACATTGCTACCAAACCAGCTATTGTTAAGGATTAGGTTGAAAAATACAAACTCTCCTCATTTTGCATAAATATTTACAAGCGTAACGTATAGGCATTTATTTTACAATTTTCCAGGTAATGAAACGATTAGTCATCACTACCTAAAAACATTCATCTTCAAATATCTCAACTACTTTTATATCTCTTATCACACATTGTTCTTCTTCGTACTTAAAATTTCATCGTTTCACAATATAATTTGATCAATCGTTGTAATTCATCCGGACTCAAAATTCTAAAAATCAAAAACAAAACCCGGACATGATCATTCAATTAGAAGACGGTGAAGCGTCCGTTTGGTATTGTTGGTCTCCAAGCTTTCCAATCACTTTCCGATGCAGTGATCGATGTTGTACGTCCAAACAAGGGCGGAGGAACCTCGTGTGCTTGCACAGAGGGATCACGGACGTTGATTTCGAGTGAGTAATCAGGTAGTAAACAGGGAACAGTTTCTGGATAGTCGGCTGTAACGGGTAGAAAGCCAGGTACCAGATGTCTGTCTTTTGTCAATTTGGCAGACTGCACGTGATGTTCCACGATGCGGAAAACGCTTGACCAATCAGATTCCAAAATATCCCGCAAATGTTATTTGTACTCTTTCTGAATCTGCTCTAATCTTTCTCGTTTCATGCACTCAATGTTTTCTTCTGAACTTCTGATGACAAATTACTCAGACGACTCATGATGACTGACTGTCGTCGAACCCGGAACCTATCGCATGTGAATCGAAAGCACAAACCATGATCAGTCCCATAAAAAATCTTCAACTCAAAATGACTTTTTCAGGCACCAGGTACCAGATGTCCATCTTTTGTCAATTTGGCAGACAGCACGTGACGTTTCACGATACGGAAAACGCTTGACCAATCAGATTCCCGCAATTTTTATTTGCACTCTTTCTGGATTTGCTCAAATCTTTTCCGTTTCATGGGCTCATCGTCTCCTTGTGAACTTCTGACGACAAATTACTCAAATGCCTCATCATGACCGACTGTCGTCGAACCCGGAACCTGTCGCATGTGAACGGAAACCACAACCCATCGTCCGTCCCATAAAAAATCTTCAACTCAAAATGACTTTTGCAGGCACCAGGTACCAGATGTCAATCTTTTGTCAATTTGGCAGACAGCACGTGATGTTTCACGATGCGGAATACGCTTGACCAATCAGATTCCAGAATATCCCGCAAATCTTATTTTCACTTTTTCTGGATCTGCTCAAACCTTCCTCGTTTCATGCACTCAGTGTCTTTTGAACTTGTGATGAAATGTGACTCAGACGACTCATCATAACTGACTATCGTCGAACCCGGAACCTGTCGCATGTGAATCGAAAGCTCAACCCATCGGCAGTCCTATAAAAAATCTTCAACTCAAAATGACTTTTTACAGGTACCAGGTACCAGATGTCCGTCTTTTGTCAATTTGGCAGACAGCACGTGATGTCCCACAATGCGGAAAACGCTTGACCAGATTCCGGAATATCCCGAAAATTTTATTTGCACTCTCTGGATCTGCTCAAATCTTCCTCGTTTCCTCCAGACCTTCTGATGACAAATTACTCAGACGACTCATCATGACTGACTGTCGTCGAACTCTGAACCTGTCGTTTGTGAACGGAAAGCACAACCCATCCCCAATCCCATAAAAACTCTTCAACACAAAATGACTTTTTACATGATGATGATCTACGGAGGACGCTACGCGTGCGGATGTGCGTGTGCATGGGCGACGTGCGCTGATAATGACAGACCCGTGGAGGTAGGTGCAGAGGAGGTAACGACGTTAGGTGCTGAGACTGGTGTTGTCAGGTGGTGGCCGAAGAAGGTAGGTCCAGTGGGTGGATAAGCACCCGGATGATGGTAATACCCAGGGGGTGGAGGTGGTGGTGGTGGTGGATGATGCACATGACTGTGAGGATGCTGATGTGGGTGGGCATGTGCATGCGGATGGCTGTGTGGATGTGTGGCAAAGAGGAAAGCTGGTCCATAGGGTGAGGGATGAGGAGGCGTCGTCGGCACAGTTGGACTGTTCACATCCAGTCCAGGATTCTGCTTCTTCCACTTGGTCCTGCGGTTTTGAAACCAAATCTTCACTTGCGTCTCCGTCAGCGACAGGGACAGAGCTAGGTTCAGTCGTTCGCAGACTGACAGGTACCTCGTTGTCTTGAACTTGTTCTCCAGTGCTACCAGCTGCTCGTACGTGAAGGCTGTCCTCGCTCTTCTCGGCTTGCCTCCGGTGCTCCCCGAGTTCCCCGAGCCGCCTCCACCGTTCTGCGAGTTCTGACCGCAGGACTGACCCTGACCATTGCTGGAGGACGTTGACGAAGACGATCGCTTTTTGCTACTCGCTGAGCCGTTAGACGTCGTATCCCTAGCTGCGATCGGAGTCTCTCGTCCCTGATCCACATGCATCTCCACGTCCTCGTCATCCTCGTCGTCCTCATCCGCCTCTTCCTCCATATCCTCCACCTGGTCCTGCGCGTCGTCCTCCTGGCCGCTTCCACTGGCGAATTCCCCTCTCGAATCACCATCTGTCGACACGAAAAATAAAAGCGTTAGAACGTTATCGTTTTAAATGTTCCACTTCAACTTTTGAAACAGTTTCCCTCGTGTAACCGTCCCCTGACTTTTTTCATCCCCAATGAAAAAAACACTGATGAGACACAGTGGCAGGACTGGAGGGCTGAGTTTGACCGAAATAGACGGAAAAGTAGAACGCTGTTCTGGACGACGAACCGGCGGCTAGCCGACCAACCGACTGCTCAGTCCACACTCCAATCTACTCGCTCTCTCATTCTCTCCTTTCTCTCTCTCTCTCGTTTTCGGCCAATCGTTTGGCTCAATGAGAGCGAGGAGATTGGAGATTCAATCAGCGCGCAGATGTCCCGGGGACAGATATTCCCTGGCTCTGAATCGTGCCAGGGGTAAGTGGGGGGGCGAGGGGTGGGGGGGAGGACTCCAAAGCGACGTCCGGGACGATAGATCGTGCGACAGACAGAGGGAGATGGCTGTACTGGGTATGGGCCTATGGGCTCAGTGTGTGTGATTGCGAGGGAGACGGAGACGAAATCCGAATTGGCGCTGCTCATGGCCCATAGTCCCTGGCTCTGGCGTGTGCACCCAGAACAGCAGCGTGAGGGGAGTGAGGGGGGGGGGGGTTGCGAACGGTTGGAAGTCCGTAGGGGGCGACGGATCGAGACGGTTTACGCCGTAATGGGATTTGTATCTCGTTAACGCGCGATCGTTCTTGCAGGACCCCATGATATTCTATATACGTAATTCTAACTCACTCGGTCTTTTCCGTAATTCTTCTGGATTCTCCTTTTTTTTTCTACGATTTCTCTCCTTGCGTATCACCGGCTCTCCGGGCGGGTTATACTGTATATCGGTTTCCACGTAGCCCGTGGTGGGGAGAATAAATATGAGGGAGTAAAGTCGGTTGAGAGGAAAATAAAAATGAAGTTGGGGCTGTGGGGGAGGGGGGTAATTGATTCGTATCGGTTGGTGCCCCTTTTGTCGTAATTCGTGGGCGTAATTCACGGGTGTTGGGTAAGGTCTATTTCATGCGATTTCGGAGGAAGCGGGGAATATTCGAGGGATGGGGGAAGATACTTCGGAGGTTTATGGGATAATTGTTTCTCGGGTTTTTGTCATTTCTTTTTTTTTATTGTTTGTAGAGAAAAAAGTTTTGAGTTTCAGGGACGTGACACTAATTTTCAGGGATCAGAGATTATACATTTTTAGAAAAAAGTTGGAGAAGAATTAGCGAACAAGTCACGTAATCGTGGAGCGACCTCGATTTTCATTTTTTTTTCACTTTATATTGGAGAAAAAGAAATGAATACTGAATTTTCACCGGTGGACCAGGGAAAATTTACTGAACATGAGATCAGTAAATTTATACCGAAACTGTAAAATTTACCCTGCATTCCATCAAAAATTATTTCAGTGAACATGAATAATTGCTCAATATTACGTATTACTTTTTCTGTAATGGAGAATGATTTTTTACTGACCGCGTTCGGTAAAATTTCACTTCCATTCGTCCCCATGACCTTCAGATAGGTGCAAGAAAAAAATACCCTACTGGAGTGGAGAATATTACTGTACAGGAGGATAATTTTTGCATCCATAGATGTGTTTTTTGACCGAACGAATTGTAAAATATCCTCTGCAAACAAATAGTTGCATGTATAGTGGTAAACAAGTAGTTTCATTGAATTATATTTCGCTCCACAATTATCCTTCGTACAGTAAAATTTATTTTTATCCCACTTTGCTCTTCGTATGTCTTATTTTCACGGATTTAAGATTGTGGAATTTAAGGAGTACAAAATTCTGAAATTTATCCATTTTGTCACCAATTCCTATCATATTTCTAGTAAGATCGTCACTAATTTTCTGGGGCCCATCTCGAATTTTCAAAAGTTTATCAGTTGTAATACCCCGAGAACTTCAAAATGATCGGGTATTTCCCGATAGCTTCGTTGCAAACAAACGAGAGTGTCAAGCTTGGTAGGTTTAAAAATCCCGAGCGCGAAGCGCCAGGGATTTTCCTACAAAACTTGACACGATCGTTTGTTTGCAGGGAAGGTTGAGGGAAATACCCGATGCATTTTGAAGCTCGAGGGGTATCTGGAGGAGTATTTCCTCCATCGGAATTTCGGTCACTGGAGGGCAGCATTTGATGTCAATGTGGTACAACCTACACTTTCGCAGTTCAATTATTTTGTTTATTCTCCCTTAGCAACGTGCCATGGTTTTACCAAATTTTACCGATATAAAATCGTGTAGGTTGTACCACATGACAGCAAATGCGGCCCTCCTATTGGCCGAGATTCCGTCGAGGGAAGTACTCAACAATATTTAGGGATTAAAATTACTGGTAATTAGAGGTATTATAAGTAGTGACTAGTATCACCGAAAAGTGGTGATAAATTCTTAAATTTCAGTGGCATACGTAGAGAAAAAAGTTATGATTTTCACAGACGTCATTGATTTTCAGAACCATGTCACTGATTTTCAGGAATTTATTCTCAATAATTGGTGACAGTGACTAGAGTAATCCTAATCATCAGTGATTTTTATCAGTGAAATTTGGTGTGGGATTCTTAAAAATTAGAGATGGATTCCTCGAAACCAGTGACATTACTCTGAAAATCAATGACGATGTCTTTAAAAATTAGTGCCGATGTCATTGGAAATTAGCGACAATGTCACTCAAAATGGGTAACAAGATTGCTGAAGTCCAGAATTTTTCACTCACTGCATTTCACAAATGTGAATCCCTAATAATAGGGGATAAATTCCGGAAAATCAGTGACATGTTCCTGAAAATCAAAACTATGTTTTCTTTGTGTTTAGGAGATGGGTAGTCGGACAGTTTTTCCCCGGACAAAATCTCCCTGAAAAAAAAATTCCCCGGACAAAATCTCCCTGAAAAAAAATTTCCCCGGACAAAATCTCCCCGACGAAAAATTTCCCCTTGAAAGAATCCCCTTCGGAAAAAAAATTTCCCCGGACAATTGCTTTTTGCGAAATTTCCTCAAAATTTATGAATGGATATATGGAGAGGATGATTGAATTGTGATAGTTACAATCTGTCGATTGTGCCACAATTGAAGGTCATTTGCAGTCTTTTGAATGCAAATTGTGAACTTTGATTGCGTCGTCGACCGAATAATTGATCAGATGAGAGAAGTAATTAATGGAGAGTAAACGTTAGTCCACACTTTGAGTTGATAATCGCTCCACATTCGCTGATATTGACGAGGTCATCTTTAGGGGTTCATGAGATAACTCAAACCAAGGAAACACAGAGAAAAAGGTTTTTATTTTCGGAAACATGACTGATTTTTAGAAATCTATCACCAATCATTAGTGACACTAGACACTGACTAGAATAACCCTGATTATCAGTGATTTTTATCACTGGGATTTGATGATAGATTCTTAAAGATTAGAGATCCCTGAAAATCACTGTAATTTTCCCGAAAATTAGTGACATCGTTAGTGGAAATTAGTGATAATGTCACAAAAAAATGGTTACAAAGTCGCTAAATTCCAGGACTTCGTACTCGTTGATTTTCACAATCAAGAAGTCCTTATAATGAGGGATAGATCCCTGGAGATCAGTGACATGTACCTGAAAATCAAAATTTCTTTCCTGTTTAAAGAGCAAAGCAGGTTGGAAATGACATTTAAATTTTCGCTACTTGCAGGCATTTCCATGAAAGAGGAAAAACTGCTGGATTTTTCGGGTACTTTCGGTCTATATTGATTTGTGCCATTGCAAGTGACCTATTATTATTTTTTTTCACTTCGAATAATTTCACCCACTTTGTTTCAAAATACTTATAAGTTATCACATTTAGTGTCTTCTTTTTTCGGCTCGAAATATTTGTAAAATTCTCGAGCATCAATCATTCATCGTTTATTAATTGAAAAAAAAAAATCATTCATCGTTTGGTAATTGAATTTTTAATTTAATATCGCTGCTGCGGCTGTCTGGCAAGCTGATAAAGTCCAGCGCATATATATATATATTTTCTATCCTGTTTGTAGTTATTCTGCATTCAAGTTTCATTTATCTCCCTCACAAACTGCTCTCTGTAAGGTCGTGATATTGTTTTAGTGAGCTCAAACATTTGCAAAGATATTGTACCCAGAGAAATGACGTATTCGAATAAAATGAAACAGTGTTTGATTTTTAAAAATTGACCTTAATAAAAATGAATGAACTCTCTTAATCTGATGATTTTTTTTTAATGAAAAAAATTTATAAATGATTAATTTCAAATTAATCTTCTATTAGAATCAAATAAACGGTTTGCTTGGTCGAAATAAAGGATTATTACATAAACAATGATTTTATTTCCAGGTAATCATTTTTTTTCGCAGACACATTTGTTCATATTTTTTTTAAACTATTCATTAAATGTCAATCAAACCGAAAGTAAAGTCCAGGATTTAATAAGAGCTTCGTTACGAGCTTTTTGAATAAACTCATTTATTCGATTCAAATAAAGTTTATTCAATTCAAATGAACCATTTCTCTGACTGTAGAATAAGGCTAATCAAATGTCTAATAATAGCTCAAACATCGCAGGGTTTCATCTCGTTTTGTTGAATCGATTAACATTGTTTTATTTTCTTCAAAAGTGAAAAGGCTACATTTTGTTGAATTAATCATTTCAGTTGGCATGAATATATCGAGTTATTCCACTACTCGATCATTCATTATAGTCATCAATGCAATTCTACATCAATTTCAAAATTATTGCAATAATTCAATAACGGTTCAAGTAGAAATTTGCAACCTTTTTTAGGAGGGTAAAAATTATTGCGGTCAATCTCATTTCCGAATAAAAAATCGACCTGAATCGTTTTACTACTTCACTACTGAATTCATTGAATTTTAAGAACATATGCCATAATTGCTGGTCTGATGTCATAAAAGTTTTTCTACTGAACAGTGAATAAAATACTCTACTATAGCGCTCTTCCACGAAGACAATACCGTGAAAATATG